CTGTCAGAAGTCTAGAAATAAATAAGAACAACTACACTCATAACCATGGAACTGATAAAATATATCCGGCCTCATATTAAATTCGCATTTATTAGCATATTATAAAACATTTATGAGAGAAAAAATTTAAGTAAATTTATACCGTTTTGATTGCATTTATGATTTTTCTAGTTTGCAATTTCCTTTACGTAAAAATTAAGGAGAAAAAATGTATTGGAAAAATCAATCTTGAATAATAATAATATCAGACTTTTATTTTTAAAATCTGATTTTTTATAAAAACAAAATTAAATGCTTAGAAATGTTTTTTTTCCTTTNTCTGACTAGAAATAATTTATTTATTAATTTTTATATTTAAATTGCTTTCTAATTCATTAAAATGAAAACATTCATTATCTTTTGTTATCATACAAAGAAAATTTTGCTAATTAAATAACCAGATAATTAATCAATGTCAGCAATAGAACAAAGCGTGTTTAAATATATTTTCTACGTTTTTAAGTAAGTAAAAATAATATTTATTCATTTATTTTATGGCATAATAATCTTTAAAAAAACAAGAAATATATAAATAAAAGAAACTACAATTTCCCATTGCAGTAATATAAGTCACCAATGTTATATCTGTACATCAGTTTAAGCAAGTAACTAGAGAAGTTTTTACTCTATAATCGATACAGTGTATAATATTTCTACAAACAACAGCAAATTGAAACAATAATAAATTTCAAAAATATATAAAAAAATAATAATAATTTTGTAAACATTAGAAAAAAGTTACTTGTTAAATTTCTTCTGAATATTAATCGAAATATGCGCATATAATAATCGATATACGATTCCCTTCCCCCGTAGAAAAGATCAGAAGTTCTTATTACGTATTCTTCATGCGATCATAGGAATGTAATGTAGTTCTTAAACTGTGTAGTCAAGAGCTGAATGCAAATACCCAGAACTGTATTTTGTCGTGGCAGCGCACTTTGCTGCATAATAATAAATTTTTTTTTCCATTTCCTCTCCTTCCCTCTGCCTGTATTCGTGTTTATGTTCATATTAATGTTATTTACTATTGGAAAATGTATTAAAAGACTTAATTGAGTAAGTTATTTATGTAATTTTGTCTAATTACGCTCTTTACTACGTTATATATTACCTGAAGTAAATAAGTTGAGGTGCGCTTTAACACGCACTTCGACTTATTATAATAGAATATATTTATAAAATTTTAATTTAATTTTATATAATTTAAAAAATTCTGCAGTAAACACGAGAGGAAATCCTTCAATTCTGACGAAAATTGTAGGATTTATTTACGATTTTACTGCTTGAAATATGTAAAGAATGTGAAGTTTTAAAGGGGAGAAACTAATTTAAATGACCTAAACGGGTATTGATATTTATTATGTAACTCTATATGTAAGCGGGCAACATAGAAAACTGTATTTTTATTTAAGATTTAACTTTAAGCCATTCCAGTTTAGATGAAAAGAATACCGCATAAAATTGCTATTGTAAATGTTATAATTCTGTGAAAACTGTTATAGATCAAGCGAATCTGAAGCCAGAAGCAAAGTCGATTTCAATTCAAATGCAAAATATGTCATTCCGTAAAGAGAAGACAATCTAGAACAAGCTGTTATCTAGGGGGAAAAAGAAAGCACAAATAACGATTCTCTTAAAGTATAAACCGCTTATAAATATTCTTTTTTTAACAAATATATTCTTGTTTATCACATGGTTATGAATTCTGGAGGAATGCCAGAGTTTACTTTAAATATATTTATAAAAATATTTTTTATTCACGTATTTGAAGAAGATATTTAGTTAAATACGAATGGAGAAATGGCAGCTTCTTTGTTGAAATTTATTACAAATATAGTAAAATTATATTTAAAAGTAAAATACAACCTGTATACAAAAGATTTACTTAGAAACAAATTGCTTACTTTTTACAATGCCGAGTTAAAGTTATTTTTACAAATGTTTTTTGTATGTAGTGAATAAGAAAAGATATTAATGATTTTATTTTCATTTTAAGAACTTAAGACATTTAAACAATTTTATTTTTTTAAATTAAAGGTGTAACGGCATCACCTTTAATTTTATTTATTTAAGATCTTTTGTTTTCATCATTATAACGTGTAGAATAATTAATAATAACCTTTTCCCACAATTTTTATACTCCTTTGCCAAACTAATTACTTACAAATTAATGAGATAAAAATAATTTAACGACTAAGTAGATGATTCCTCAGTTATAAATAGAAGAGCAAGAAATAAAAATATTTAAAAAGAAACGAAAGAAGTGCTATTAATTTATTACTAGAAAGAATTTTTTTTACTTTGTAATGTCCTTCAAACCAGAAATTTAGTAAGGACTGAAAAATTAATTAAAAGGGCCATTAAGGCTTTTAAGCTTGTCGAGCACCAGCATATTTGATAACCTCTAGTACACTGGTACTGAATAATAATGCTAATGATTCCTANGCAGTTCAGTTTAACGTTTTGATTCTGTTAAATTGTAGAGTATGAGAATTATGCATTCGATCATACGAACAAGGGAGGATAAATTGATTCTACGAGCAATAAAAAGGTTTAGAAGATAAGGTGAAGTGATTAATTTTTCATTTGCATATTTATTTCAGTTGATAAAATAGTGTAAACCATGACAAAGACGTAGGATATCTTCGTTCAGCAGTCAATAATGACTAACATCAATTATACTTTGTTTAACAAGAAAAAAGTTTTCTAATTAAATTGATTCGTTTACGTTCCGCTACAAAAGGCTTGATGTTTCGATTTCTTTAGGAAACAGATGGAAAGGGTCTCTCGAGGATTAGCAACCATCATCTGCTCGTCCCAATGGATTGTCAGGACAACCAGCACCATCTGCTCATCTTATTTGCTTCTGTCCTGATCGCCAATTTTGTGACCCTAATGTTGTATGTACCTTTTTAAATTAGATTTTCACCTCGATAGCTTACTTTCCTAATTTCCCTTTTAAAATATGTTATCTAATCGGATATCTTACTTAATAAATATAAATGTGGCATTATTTATCAAATTTCCTCTTCTCTACGCAATTTCTCTTCAACAATCTTCCTCTATTAAAGAAAAACACATGATTTAAATCTCTTATAATTATAGAATTTGGAAAATTTAATGTTTGAACTTTAAGAAATTTGATAGATTTCAAGAATTCGTTCAGAAATTTTAACGATTTTCTAAACTTTTAATAGAAGATTTGTTTACTGCTATGAAAAATATTAAGTAGAAAAGGCTCTAGAATAAATTTATGAATGATTTGTGTACTAAACTGTGTCTATGTACATTATATACGTATACAGTATATTACTGTTACAAGTCCTGTTCTTCCTCAGGGTTATCTTCTACAGATGAAATCTTGTCACACACGATTCAGTCGGTAATCTTTAACTTTTCTAGATTTTTTTCTACATTTTCTTCTTTTCTTATGACGTCTACAAAGATACATCGCAAAATCTTAACTTGAAAAATCTCTATGCCTAGTTTCCTTTCGGGAATTAACTCAAGATAATAAGAAAAGAAGGATCAAACAAGAAGAAGAAAGTAGTAAACAAGGAAACAAATAAATTTATATAATAGTAATTAAAATCTCTTCTAAAACAATTTTAATGAAAATTAAGAAAAGAAAATAAATCCTTATTCTGTAAAAATATTGCAAAGTATAAATTCTAAGTAGTTTGAATAATTAAAGAGAAAGTAATCTTTGGAATTAATTTCTATGTCAGTAGAGATCTGCTTTGGGTTAATGTTTTCGTTTTTCTTCAACATCTTTCTTAATTGGAAGTAGATAGAAATGGAGCCGAACTTCCTTTATTTATTCTTCAACACTATTACCATGATTAATTAAAATCTTCAAGCAGTGTTTTCCTTCATAAAAACTTTCATTAAAATCGAACGAAGGTGTAATCTTACAAAACTAAAAAGAAATATTTTCTACTTAATTCTAAAGTCTTAATATGAAACTAATAAAAGATTAGAATATTTAGTTAAGAACTAGATGTTATTTTAATTATTTTTTTTTTAAATAAAATATATTGTTTCCTACCGACATCTTATAAATATTAAATTTCGCTAAATTATTATTTGAATTCCTAATTTTTTTTCTTTCGAGTTAGAGAAGAGCAAATGCTAATTATGCTATTGATTTATAGATTTCTTTTTTGATAAATTACCTATTTTATATCTTATCAATTCACTTTAAATGAATACAGTGTGCATTTTACATATTTAGGACATTTTGGATAGAATACTTCCTTCTTTATATTCTCTAAACTTTCATATCTAAGGTATGCAATAAATTGCATACCATTTCCTGTTTGTTTTCTACTGTATATATATGTTTTGTGAGCATTTTAGATATGTAACCTGCAAAATACTTGTCAGTTTAATATTTTAGAATCTATATTTTACTCTTTAATGTATTAATTTAACGAATTTCCACATGAAAAAGCGAGTCATTTTTCGAATTTACTATCAACTGATTAGTTTACAGCTCATCAACACCAACAAATATATATAAAACTAACCATAAAGTATACAAATTTACAATTTTACGAGACTTCTAATACACAATTGATTAGAAAAGTTACTCGATAAAAGTGTCAATAGATTCTAAAACATAGAAGGTGATTAACATATTAGACCATTATTCTGGACTGAACGAGTCATAAAATTTCCCAAATAACTAACTTTAATCTTAATAACATGTAACGAGTTTCTAGCTGAGTCACACTAGATTTAGTGTAATTTTTTTTAGTTTTACGCAAATAAATTCAATTATTAATTCTTAATATAAAAAATAATGATATTCTGTAACGATCTTCTACATTCAAACCTCGATATAGCGCCCTTCCAAATTATAAAGCACCAATTGTGAACGAATTTACATTGCAAATAACATTGTTGTCATCAAAACAAATGACCAGTTGTTATTTATAATTCTTATTGTTGGAGATATTTCGATTTAGCGCCACATTACATTTAATGCCAATTTCATAAGCAAATGATTGGTGGTAAATCGAAATTTGACTGTATATTAACTTAATACATGTGTTCTACATATAATATCTTCTATCTTCGAATAAAATATAGTAAAACTTTTATATTTTTTAATAATTAATTTTATTAAAAAAAGGCAGTTCAGTTTAACGTTTTGATTCTGTTAAATTGTAGAGTATGAGAATTATGCATTCGATCATACGAACAAGGGAGGATAAATTGATTCTACGAGCAATAAAAAGGTTTAGAAGATAAGGTGAAGTGATTAATTTTTCATTTGCATATTTATTTCAGTTGATAAAATAGTGTAAACCATGACAAAGACGTAGGATATCTTCGTTCAGCAGTCAATAATGACTAACATCAATTATACTTTGTTTAACAAGAAAAAAGTTTTCTAATTAAATTGATTCGTTTACGTTCCGCTACAAAAGGCTTGATGTTTCGATTTCTTTAGGAAACAGATGGAAAGGGTCTCTCGAGGATTAGCAACCATCATCTGCTCGTCCCAATGGATTGTCAGGACAACCAGCACCATCTGCTCATCTTATTTGCTTCTGTCCTGATCGCCAATTTTGTGACCCTAATGTTGTATGTACCTTTTTAAATTAGATTTTCACCTCGATAGCTTACTTTCCTAATTTCCCTTTTAAAATATGTTATCTAATCGGATATCTTACTTAATAAATATAAATGTGGCATTATTTATCAAATTTCCTCTTCTCTACGCAATTTCTCTTCAACAATCTTCCTCTATTAAAGAAAAACACATGATTTAAATCTCTTATAATTATAGAATTTGGAAAATTTAATGTTTGAACTTTAAGAAATTTGATAGATTTCAAGAATTCGTTCAGAAATTTTAACGATTTTCTAAACTTTTAATAGAAGATTTGTTTACTGCTATGAAAAATATTAAGTAGAAAAGGCTCTAGAATAAATTTATGAATGATTTGTGTACTAAACTGTGTCTATGTACATTATATACGTATACAGTATATTACTGTTACAAGTCCTGTTCTTCCTCAGGGTTATCTTCTACAGATGAAATCTTGTCACACACGATTCAGTCGGTAATCTTTAACTTTTCTAGATTTTTTTCTACATTTTCTTCTTTTCTTATGACGTCTACAAAGATACATCGCAAAATCTTAACTTGAAAAATCTCTATGCCTAGTTTCCTTTCGGGAATTAACTCAAGATAATAAGAAAAGAAGGATCAAACAAGAAGAAGAAAGTAGTAAACAAGGAAACAAATAAATTTATATAATAGTAATTAAAATCTCTTCTAAAACAATTTTAATGAAAATTAAGAAAAGAAAATAAATCCTTATTCTGTAAAAATATTGCAAAGTATAAATTCTAAGTAGTTTGAATAATTAAAGAGAAAGTAATCTTTGGAATTAATTTCTATGTCAGTAGAGATCTGCTTTGGGTTAATGTTTTCGTTTTTCTTCAACATCTTTCTTAATTGGAAGTAGATAGAAATGGAGCCGAACTTCCTTTATTTATTCTTCAACACTATTACCATGATTAATTAAAATCTTCAAGCAGTGTTTTCCTTCATAAAAACTTTCATTAAAATCGAACGAAGGTGTAATCTTACAAAACTAAAAAGAAATATTTTCTACTTAATTCTAAAGTCTTAATATGAAACTAATAAAAGATTAGAATATTTAGTTAAGAACTAGATGTTATTTTAATTATTTTTTTTTAAATAAAATATATTGTTTCCTACCGACATCTTAATTGTTAATATAAATCCAATTAATGAAGAGAAACGTGAAGTAAATTATATGAGTATATTTTTAGTATTTTTCTTGGAAGTTCTCTTCTTAATCTCATCTATTTGAACTTAGGTTCCATGAAAAAAGTAGAAGAGGAAAATAAAAAACAGGAAGAGTAAAGTTCGAGTCTTGTCTATTCCCAAGTGTCTTGCCACCAAGAACTCACGACACATGAAAGATAACTTCTTCACATGTCTAGATACAACTTTCTTTTTATAATCTATCACAAGATGCTACTAAATTAGATACGTTTTATTTTAATTAAGCGATTTCATTTTATATAATGATAACTTTAACGAATTTTCAGTTTTAAATCAACGTATCGCTCCATGTTTTTCTTTATAATATAGCGAAATTTCTGTAAATTTCATCTTAATTTTAACAAAATTAAACTAGTATAGTCCGTACATTTATGTATTTTTATATTAAAGTTAATGAATAGATGTTTAATTATCTCTCTTTTTTTCTTAATCTAAAAGTTCTTAATTCAAAAATATTTTTAACGCTTGATCTTTGTTTGTACACAGATTTTAAAAATTTAAATAAATTGTGTATATTATTTTTACACTCATTTATAATTAATAATACACAATCTTTATTTTTTATTGATAATTTTATCGATTTTTTAATACCTAATCGATTTGTAAGCATCTTCAATATAAATTCTTCGATACAAAACGGCATGTAATACAAGAATAATTGTTTTACAATTTAAATTTTAGAAATTTTTTTAAATTTTAAAATAATTTTTAGCAATTTTCCAATGAAAATGTTTATGGAAGGTAATTTTTTTAATGTAAAAACAATCTTTTTATTCGGTTTTTAACCAAAAAAAATCTTTACTTTTAATAATAATAATTCTTTCATCATAAGAATTCTTTCAGTTTTATAATTTTACACTTTACGTAAATAAAAAGAAATAGGAAGAAAAGAATAATTCCAATCGTTTCAAATGAAGATTTAAACTGGTAATGCAATTCTTTCCAATTCCCTTTTGATAACTACGTTATTTCTTTATTTGGTAAAACTAACGAAGATTCAACTTTAAATTAAACTTTAGTTTGACTTCTTCTTCCTCTCTTTCTTTATTTCTTTCATCAGAATATAGAAAGAGAGAGAGAGAGAGAGAGAGACGTGAACACACAAAAAATCTTTTGCAATTCCAAGTTTTATCTATCTTGGGAGTATTACTTTTAAAGAAGACACTGGCAGTAATCACTAGTTAAATTTTCATTAAACTTTTATTCTTTTACTCATTACAAATATTATAAGTTTCATCACGTTTTCTGTTATGATCTTCTTTTTTCTTAATTAAATAAAATTCCTTACGTGTAATGATAATAAGCTTAATGAAAATAATAATAATAATAACATTCTACGAAAAGTAATCTTTTTTTTTGTATTTTGTACTTCGACCTAGAAAGTTTCTTTTTCTTTCTTTTTTTCTTTTTTTTGGAAAAAGAAACCAAACAAAATCGTTAAGTGCACGAAGACAGACCAAACAGAGTTGCTCTTTCCATCAATCAAGTTATTGTGAAAGAAAGAACGGTGTACTCTTGAGTAATCCAATTCCTTCAAGTATTGTTTGCTTTTACAAGACTATTCACCTTTATACATTGCTCTTCATGACTTAATAAGTTAAACTACCAAATCTTTTGATTGGCCTTTCTTCTGATCTTCAGCATCTTTCTTTTCACAAGAAGGATTTTTATGTATTCCTCTTGTTATTTTCTTGATTGAACTTCTATTCTTTAAGCATTAAACATCTTTTATACGAAGACGTAAACAGGCAATTATCAATTTCCAATTCTTTTATCTAATTATTAAATTAGAATTATTTTATTTTATTTTTATGGGAAATTTTGTAGTTTTAAAGTTGAATAATTAAATACAAAAAAAAGTATATTCAAGTAAAGAATTTCGAAATATTTTTATTAAAATTTTTAGAATAAAATATTAAATTATCAAGAAACTTTTTATGTAAATTCGTTAAATAAAATATTAAATTTCATTTTAAAAAATTTATTTTTGATTTATTTTATATATTTTAATGAGAAATTTATTATTGTAATTAAATAATTGTGTTTTTGATAATTGTACTCTTTTAATATATTTTTTTTCCGTAAAGTTTTAATGGATTTTTCAGTGCTAAACCTATAAAAATATAATTTATTAACGTGCCAATATACATTTTATTTAAAATAGAATAAATTTTCTTTATAATTTTAACTTCATTTCAATAAAATTAAAATACTTTATAGTCCCATAGTTATATTCAGAATGATTCAAAAGTTACTATACATAAGTAAAGGTCCACTTTATAAATCACAGAACATGATTTCTAAGAATGCAATTTAACTAAATGCATTTCTTCCACTCATGGAAAACGTATGTTAACACGTTTGATGTTATGTGTGCACCTGCATCACAAGTACATCCCTTCAAATGTTTTTTCTGTATGTAGACTTTTGAATCACAACTAAATTTTCATATTTTAAATTAATGATTGAATATTAAGTAATCATTTTCCTAACGAATAAAGTCGAATTTTCCTATCAAAAACAGATAAATTGACGTATTTTCTTAAAGAAAAATTATATTATCTTTAGATAAAATCAAGAAAAAACAATTTTTTTTTTCCTACAAAANTAGAATATAAGAGCGCTAGTAAATCCTGTAACCTACAAATATTATGTAGGAACTGTGCAGAATAGAAAATTTAATAGCTTTTATGAATGATAGAGTAGAAAAATGAAACAAAATTTTCTATAAACATGAAATGATTTTTGCTGAAATAATGAGAAAAATGATTAAAAGCATCTGAAGAGAGTTAGAGATGCGATTGTTCTAATGATAACTAAAGAAATAAAGATAGAAAGAGTAAACACGGATGTTTCTATATTTAGTTTTCTAATCAATCGCCATTTTCTTTACTCTTTTCGTTTAAACTTAACATAGACTTGGAAGTTTTTCTCACGTACTGTATTGTACTGTGCATGCAAGAACGTTGAGGGAATTCTTCGTTTAATTTTATTTTCTCAAAATCTCTTCTAGAGATCATCTTCTAAAGATTTTATTGATCCTGATCTTCCATTTTAATTTATGTTCCGTGATATTATTATAGCATCGAGTGGAAATCAAATTCGTCTTTTTTTCTCTAGTGGACCGTCATCCTCGGTGTCATCGTCTTGAATTTATTTAAGAAATAAATAATGAAAAAAATTAACGAAATTTAAATTTTTAAATTAATGTAGAACGATAAAGAATATAAATTCATAAACGTAAGGCAAATTTTAATATTTTTATGTTACTTTTTACAGAATGAATATTTATGTAAAATTTAAATATTAATAAAATATAATATTAAATTTTATTCCGTAAATATTTTTATATAACCAGTGGCATATCCAGGATTTTGAGAATTTGGGTAACTGCTCAAGGCAAATTCGGGGCGACCAAGGTACGTGTCACCTGTCGTTTTTCGGAGAATGATACTCAATTTTCTTAGAATTACAGTAGATTCTTGCTAATCCAGTCTCTCAATTATCCGGAATATCCCGTTAAAATAGCTTCATTTAATTTATGTTTATTATTTTTTAAAATATCTATAAGTTAGTAAATTTGTAATATTAACTCTAATAAAGAATTACGCTTGCAATTGCTGTATCTCTGTGCATAATTTCGCAATAACAAAATACAACTCCAAAAAGAATCTGTACAAAAGGGCGACAGACTATATCATTCATTGCATTTAGTCCTATACCCTCACTAATCCGGCATTCCTCTATGCAAGCAATGGCGAGATTAGCAAGTGTCTACTGTACGTTAGTTACTTAATCTTATCTAATTAAAGTCATGCAATATGCGTTATTATATTTATTTTTATTTTAAACAAAACTGATTGCTTTGGTATCAACGAGTGCTCAGCACCATAAGCCACATCTAGATACGCCCTTACACATAATAATTTAGACGATCGAATAACATGATAAAGGAGCCAGTCTGCTGCTTTGAAGGACCCGGGTTCGAGTTAGTTTGGCTTAAAAATTGGATATACTTCGTTCTTCGCCACCTAGCTTTTCATTGTGGATCTGGCCACATCCATAATAACCATATAAAAAAACCCTCTTAAGGTAATTTTATGTTTTCATTATGGATGCGGTCAGGCCCATTAACGTACAGTTCCTAAATGCTTATTAATATAATATACAATTCCTATTAATGTAAATAAATAGTAATATAGTGCAAAAACCTCAAAAAAACTCCAATTTCTTTTTACTAAATTATTAATATCAATTTCTTAAGACAAAGAAACGATGATGGAAATTGGCATTTGAGACTAAAATAAATTATCGTTTATGTAATATCACGAGTCTTACCGAAACCAGAGAATATACGTAATTTATATTAAAAATTATTTGTCAAATGAAACATTTCAATTAATTATTAATTTCGTGTAATAATGTAAAAGATTAAGAAGATAATTTAGCAAGGGAGATGATGAATATGGCCATCGTTACAGCAAAAATATTGTTATGTATTGGAAACACGTTCGGTGGGATTGATTCAAATTAAGAAAATAAATAGAGGGATTAAAACTTAATTCTATTTATAAACTACCCGCATACAATGTTCAATACGGAAAAGCTTTAATCTTTTGAATCTTTAAGAACTTTAAACAATAAAAAATGCGGAATGACTTAGTTTGTAACTAAGATCATTAAACCTCTAAATTTACAAAACAATCAAAAACTTAGATAATTTTTTCCTGGAATAATAACTTTTGTTCTGTTTCTCTACATTTAATAGTGCATTGTATGTAATCTTCTGGAGAAAAAAAATCAATGATCAAGCTCCTACTCTTCCTCTCTATCAAGAGCTGAATTACTCAATCTTCTATATACTTGCGTGCTATTTACACTTATATAATTTTTCATTACAGATTCTATCAGAAATTTAATATATATTATTTTATTAACTTATCTTTACGATAATATATAATAATGTATATAAATACACAAAAAAATAGCGCGACTCGGTAAGTTTATAATCCATATTATTGCTGATGTGATGTTAAAAAAATTTTAATTAAAAATAATAATAATAATAATAATTTTGATGTAATAAAATTTAAAAATTTAATTTTCTCAATTTCAGGATGTGCAGCAAACACATTGAAGAATTTCACTTATTGTGGGCTAACCACACATTACAAAATACATTAATGTTTATAAGAAAGCAGACGGAAGACTTCTAAAGCTAATTTATTACTTTCGAAGTGCTACC